GAAATAAAGATGGCTAAAACAGTTTGCTAGTTTCAATCAGGTTTTGGAGTAGAGAGTAGATTAAGCAGATTTCTCTTTATAGTTGTTTACACTTTTAATTTCTGCATGGGATTGACAGAAGGAATGAAACAAAAGTGAATAAGGATTTTTGATACGCAGCAATGTAGTTGTATTAAATGACATTAAATGCGGTTTTGTTTCTCTTTGTATCAAGAATTCCTGAAGTTGGCTACAACTTTGAAAAGAATGAAGGGAAACCATTCTCCTACTTCAGTTACGGAGTTGCCTGCTCTGAGGTTGAGATAGATTGCCTGACAGGTGACCACAAGGTGAGGGGTCAGCAGTGAAACAGAACAAATACTGGGTGTCAGCCCATTCCTGGCTCTGTCATTGGTCTGGTGTGACCTTCAGCAAATTTCTTAACTCCTCTGTTCCACAGTGCACAATCCGTAAAGTGTAATAAAACAATAATTATCTACCCTGTGGGGATTTTGGGGCTTAATGAATGATTGCAAAAGTTATTGGATTTGCTTGAGTAAGAGATAGCAGCACTGTGTTGGCACAAAAGTACAGAAACATCCTGGAATTGAGTTAATAATTAAAAAATAACACTGATGACTTCTGGGAAGAAAAAAATAAAGGAAAAAAAAAAAGAAGAAAAAAATTAAATAATGATCTGACCTAGCTGGTTATGTTGAGCTACAGGCCACTGATGCCAGCATCTTGGAATTAATATTAACTGGGTCCACTGGACCTCTGGGGAAAACTGCAGTGAGTTCCTTTGAATTACTTTTGGGGTGACTCAGATTAAAAATCAGTATGAGAAATTCAGCTGAGATAAGATTATGTGGGATAGTGTTTGGATACTCTTCCTCACATGAGACCATGGTGAACCAGCTCCAGAGATCTGTGCTGATTCACCCTTCATTCCTGTTTTTAGAACATTCGCACAGACATTGTTATGGATGTTGGTACCAGTCTGAACCCAGCCATAGATATAGGACAGGTAAGTGAAAAGTATTGCTATTTCCATCATGTTAAGGCAGTCACACTGCTTTCAGGCTTTTCTATTTATTATCCCTCTCTGGGTTGTGCCTTTGCAAACACTCCCTTTTTAACCTGGCACAGAATTACATAGGGAAATATTCTGTTAAGGTTTGGAGATTTTTGCCTTTTGGACAATAAGACTACAGGATATTGTTCAGTTACCACCCCATTGATGTTTTTCAGGCTAAATCCCACACCTGATATTTATATTCCTCTCTGTCAATATTAAGTTTATTTAATTTAGTGAAAATTCTCCTGACTAAAGAGTTAGGGTGGCAGATTCTGTCCTCCAGCTGCTGCTGTGTAGAATTCTCAATAGGAAGTTGGACCAGTCACTTATCTTGCAAAGTCCTTGGGCAGGCACAAAATTACTTCAAAATTTTGTGCAGTAATAACCACACTATCTCTTATCAGATAAAGGTAATAAACCAGGCTTGTTTGACAGACCAAGAAATGAATTGTCAGATGTATGCTTATCTAGCCATCTTAGCTCGCTGGCTAACTCTAGATGTTGATATGGTGTAACTCAATGAAACTGCTGCAGGATTTGGGATGACAGGACAGCATGAGTTGCAAAGCTCTGCTACAGCTAAAATAAAATTTCCTTGAAAGCATCATTTTTTTCTGAAAGATTTTTTTTTTTGGAAGTGTCCAAGGGGAGAGAGGGATTTTCTGTCTTCGCAGCCTGTCGCTTTAGGTTTGGGAGTTGAGAGATGGGCTAAATGGAGCCTGTCAAAGGGGTCTTCAATTCCTGTGTCCTTCCATTGCTGCAGTGGATCTGGGGGCACACGAGAGGATGTGGCATGAGGAATGCAAGTACACAGAGATGGATCAATGAATGCTTGTGACTGCTCTGGCTGTCAGATACCTCAATGGGCACAGAGAGCAGAGCTGCTTTGTGCAAGGTTGTTCAAGCACATCCTCTTCTTGTAATATTTTTTCTCCTAAAATTTACAGTAGGAAAAATATGCAAAGTTTTTTAGTACTTAAATGGATATGGGAGTGTTTTTGCAGGTGTCTGTGCTGCTGACCTGATAATATGCAGCACTTAGGAAAGCATTTATACTGAAAAAGAAAGCGTAAAATAGTTTGTCTTTAGATGTTTTATCTTCAATCCTTTTAGTCTACATGTCCTTTGATATATCAGCAAGTTCAACTCATTCAATGCTCACCTGCCTGGGAAGAAATCAATACTTTATTATTGATTTTTTTTTCTGTTGCTTCATCAGAAAATTCCTGTCCTGTGTTTACAGAAAAGCTGTTTGCATGTATTTGTAAATTGCTTCATCTGCCAGGGAAATGCAGCCACATTTATGTGGGAACACAGGAATTGTGCAAAGATTGTACCCAGCAGAAGGGACAAGAGTTTAGAGATAAAAAGTGGGATCTGAGTCAGGTGGGAAGAGTTGAAAACCTTGGTGGATGTCATCACTGTTTGTCCTTGTGCAGGGAAGAACAACAACAGAGACTGTAACCTTGTTTGGATGTGTTTGTAGATAGAAGGAGCCTTTGTCCAGGGCATTGGGCTCTTCACCATGGAGGAGCTGCGTTACTCTCCTGAAGGGAACTTGTATACTCGAGGGCCTGGCATGTACAAAATCCCAGCATTTGGAGACATCCCAACAGAATTCAATGTGTCCCTTCTCCGTGACTGCCCCAACAGCAAGGCAGTTTACTCATCCAAGGTATGCCTGTGAGGCCTGTGGGCCTCTTACTGCCCCATAACACTGTGAAGCTGAGTGGGATAAAGTCATGATCCTGTGTGTCTAAACAGTTCATCTCATCATGCTGTGGTTACTCTGAGGCCAGGATGTTTTTCTATTTCTTAACAGAAATGCGTGTACTATCCTTTCTAGTTAGGAAGAAGTGAAGTAACCTGAACATTTCTGCCCTGATTGATTCTGATCTGATTCTGTCCTGTCCATTAGACAGAACTGAAGTGGCTTTGCTGTGTGAGAAAGCTTGTGTTTTGTTCCTGTTCCTTCTTTAAGTGGACTGAGGGTTGATTTAGCTCAGTCTTTCCTCACTGATCACACCTGGCACACTGGAGGCTGTTTTATCATGTTTCCTCAGTGAGCACATCTGGTAGACTGAGGTTCCCGTCTGGAAGGCAAAGCCTCACTCTTGCTTGTGCTCTCTCTAGGCTGTGGGAGAGCCCCCTCTGTTCCTGTCTGCCTCAGTGTTTTATGCCATTAAAGATGCCATCTATGCAGCAAGGAAGGACTCTGGCCTGACAGAGGCATTCAGGCTGGACAGCCCTGCCACCCCCGAGAGGATCCGCAATGCTTGTGTGGACATCTTCACCAAAATGGTAACAGCCCCTGCTCTCACAGTCTGCTCCCTGGCCAGCCTGCCCACGGGGAGTGTGCCTGGAAGTCACAGGGCCTCAGGGCTGGGATTAGGGCAGGGTGGGGAGGCTGTGTCCCTGCTCCAGCAGATGGTTTTGTTTCATGGGTGTTGTCCTTCGTTTGATGTGCCATCAGCTGAGAGCCAAATCCCCAGGCCAGCACTGCTAGGGCTCCCACTGCAGGAAGGGCTGCTGTACAGGATCTCTGAAGTTCAGTCCATTCCATTCTCCAAGTGTTGTGTGTGGGACAATGGCACTGGCTGCTTGTCCTGATGCTCCTGACTGTCCTCTCTCAGAGAACCATCACGTATAGCGAGCGCCACGGTGTGATTTAGTGGTATCCCTCAGCAAGGGGGAGGGAGAAAAGTGTTCCTTCAAATACTCCCTTCTTCTGGATGTTACAGCCACATGAGTCTCCTTAGAGCTGTGGACTTGATCTGAAGGAGTGCAGGAGTTATCCCTGTCACTGGTTTCTCTGGGCTGCTCTGTCATAGTGTTGTCACAGGGCTCTGTAGTAGTCAACTATCAGGCTCCTAACAGAAATGCCCTGAGACAGGCACCTCTGTGTTTGGAAAAGCTGGGATAGAAGCTCCTATCTTCACAAAGTCCCACCTGAAAAGCAGCATGGTGAGACATGCTGAACGTTGGACAGGACCCTCATTTGTTGCTAATTCAAATATTTTTTCTCTTTATAGTGCCCTTCTGCTGAGCCAGGAACCTTTAAGCCATGGTGTGTGCGTGTGTAAGAAGAAAGTTTGAGGAGCAAACTCTGCTGAAACTGAGCTTACATCAGAGGAACCACAAGGCAGTAGGACTATAATGGAGGAAAAAAACCAACCTGTGTTCATGTGGCTCACCCACTGATTCATGGAGCTTTCACATTTAATTGTCCAATCATTATTTTCTCTATGAGAGGAAATTGCTGCCAGATTATAGCTGTGATGTAAATTCAAATGAAGTGTAAGTTGAAGGTGATGTTATCCAGGTGTAATTGAAAAATCTTACAGATTTCATATAAAATTGCTGCAAGGATGCTTCTTACCAGCCAATGTGAAAGAGCAGGGTGGTTGTTTCTTTTTCCTGCTATAGGAAAAAGATGTATCACCTTGTGATGCTGTGCCAAGAAGGACTCAAATGTGTTGATCCCAGACACAGAGTCCTCTAGCTGAGATGGGGGAAGGTGTAAGAGGTGCTGAGGGCTGGACCCTGCTGTGTTCCCTTTGCACACAAAGCCAGCTGCATCCTAGAGGAAGATGAGCAGGACTTTTGGTGTTGGCTAATGATGATGGTCTTACCTGTGTAATAAAAGTGTTTCAGAGGAAAAGGCTAAAATGTGACCAGCAACTGATTTTACCCCAAGTTCAATGACTGTTGCTTTGTCTGCACCTGGGCTTTAATGAGATTTTAGTTCAAGTGCTACCTTTGTCTTCTCTGATTAAAGATAAAAACTAAATATACCAAGAGTACTTCCAACAAGATGCTGCTTTGTTTGGCACAGACTTTTCCTATCCCACACCTCCACATCTCTTCCCATCCTTTAAATAGGAAAGGACATCAGAGACCTTGGAGTAACAGAGAAACTTGCCCATCGATGTTCCCAAGGTAATTTATACCAGCCTAAGCAAGGGGCACAAGGAGGTTGGGCACAGATTAGCTGGCTCTGGGTGCCCTCTAGGGTAAATCCCTTGCTGTCATGGCCTTGCCTTCTTTCCAAGAAATTTCTTAGTTTTGCTGAATGTAAGAGATGGATGCATTTTGCTACAGGGAGTGCTTGTCTGAAAACTGTGCTGCTATGTGATGACCTGGTGTCATCTGGATTGAATATTTCTTTGTGTTGGATTTTGTGCTGGGCATCCCTCCTGACAGGTTTTGTCACTGTCAGATTCAACACTGGAGCACCATGTTATCTCTAGATGGTGTCAGCCACATGCTGTGCCTGCTGATCATTTGCAAACTTCTATCTGTTTTTCTGGCCTACTGCTTTATAAAAATGTCTTTTTTCTCTTTTTGCACCCCAGGGCCATCAAAAAAGTATGGTGCAAGAGGATGTAACTCCTTATATAAAATTTTGCTGACATACAAACTTGTTAAAATTTGCCTTCATCTTAGGACTGGACAATGCATGCTCAGTGTGAAATATTTTTTTAAGCACTCCAGTATATACTGCTTGAAAAGGTGTAGATTTATTTCTCAACTCAAAATATTATGGATCTACCAGCTAGAAGAAGGGAGTTACAGGAAGTATTTTGTGCCTGTTGGTCTTGCTATGTAATTTTTTTATTAATTGAAATATGGTAATTGGTGTTTCTTAAGCTTAAGGTGTTTCTTGCCACTGAGGTACTGGGCAAGAACACAATTTTGTTTTCTCCTGAAAGTTGGTAATATCTAAAAAACTTCCTAGAGAAGAAAACTTGATAATTCATGTGCAAGAACAGCTATTGGAGCCTGTGTGTTCACACTCTTGGGTGTCCAGGAAGGGATGCAAAATACTAAATCTGTAAGGTAGATTGGTATCAGCTCTTTCTGTGAATTCCACCTCATGGGATTGCTGGACATGTTCCTTCAGACCAGGATGAGAAGAAATCCAAAGGCATTGTGTGTTAAAGCAGAGCATGGAGACACAGGCAGAGTGGGATATCAAGGAGTTCCCAGTGTCATGCCAGGGGAAAGCTGCCAGTGTTCACAATAGGCCTGCTGCTTGTGATGGTGCTGGGAGACGTTGGGATGTCACTAGCAGGATGAATAAGTGCTCTTTTTCTCCCTGGTTTTGGAGTTTTCATCATTTCAGGAGGGGTTTGTGAGTGTCTCAGTCACAGTGACTGCCTGGTCAGGTGAATTTTTTTGAAATTAGATATATCAAGTCTCTGTTTTGCTATTTGCTTTGTGAGTTAATTGGAAAGTATTTGCCAAGTTCTGTGTACGTGCAGTGGTCAGAGCAGGCTGCTCAGAGCAGACCTGTGGAGCCAGTTTTGCTGCAGCATCAGTGACTCACTCTTTCCCATGCAGCAGCCCTGGTCCTCATGCCCAGCCCAGCTTGGGGCCCTCCTGACACCCTTGCCCAGCTGATGGAGAGAGGAAACACTTGCCTTTTGGGGTGCACTGGAATGGAATGTAAATTAAATCAAACACCTGGGGATGGCAATGGTATAAAATTAGTGTTGTAAAGTAATGACAGCAACTGATTGTGAGGGTGTAGGGAAAAGGGAAGCTAACAGGAAGTGACCTTGCCTTTTGGGGTGCACTGGAATGTAAATTAAATCAAACACCTGGGGATGGCAATGGTATAAAACTAGGGTTGTAAAGCAATGACAGCAACTGATTGTGAGGGTGAAGGGAAAAGGGAAGCTAACAGGAATTGACAGGAGGCTAACAGGAATTGACAGAAAGATCATTGTACTACCTGCCTGTGCTGTGGGACTCTAAGGAACATGAAGCTGAGGTTTTCAAGTCACCTCTCAATGTCTGAACATTTCATACATTGTTTTCAAGGAACTAAGTGCCTGGCACCTTAAAAAAGGACTAGGATCCACTGGAGAGGGCTGGCAGGAAGAGAAGATTCCTGACCTGAGGTGTGCTCTGCACTACAGAGCTGGTGGGGAGCAGCTCTCCTGCCCTGAGTGCACACCACTGTCCCCTGCCAGGTGCTGTGTCCCATCTCCTCCCACTACATCTCGCTGTGTGGGGTCTCAGCTCACTGTCACTGGAGGGAAAGCTACTCATGAAGAGAAAAATGTTCCTTTTCTAGTACTTGCCAGTGAAATAAAGCATGGATGCAAGACTCTAATTTAATGGCATATAATTGGAAATTTGCTGCTTTTCTTCTTTCAGAAGTCTGTCTCAGAAGAGGAACTGTGCCATCTTGCTAGACTGTAAAGTACTGCGCACAATAACGGCACTTAAATAGTAATTACTGCAGCTGGAGAGTGTGTGGGAGTGTGAAAGGAGCCCAGCTGATCTGATGTTTTAATGCTATTAATTGCATGGCCTTCTGTGAGAAAGGGAGGCCAAGATTTTGGTAATTGTTTCAGGTCAGGTCTAATCAACAGTTTTCATTAACGTTCTTTAATGAGCGCTGTCAAAACGGTACCATGAATGTACATGGAATTCTCTGTGAATGTCACAACATTGCAAAATAAAGCTGCTACATAATCTGGAAAGAAAAAAATCCTATGGTCAGAGTCTGGCAGGATTTGAAATCTAGACAAACTCATCCTTGGTGTTTGCTTGACAAAGATGGACCTTTCCCAGGGACTGAGAGTCAGATCAGCTCGGTGACCAAAGTGGGGAGAGGGTGGGAGGTTGCTCTGGGCTGCCCAGCTGGATGAAGCTGTGAGCCAGCTGGAGAGACTGGGCCTCTGTCTGGCCACACTGGCAGCCATGCCCAAAAGAAAGCAGAGTCAGTCCTCGTGCTTCTCTGCCAGCAGGAGCCTGTAGTAGCCACATCCTGTTTCCCACAGCAGCACAGTGCTGCATTCTGATGCTTCTAGCCACCTCCACAGGGCCCACCAGTTGCTGACACAAGTGGGAGGCAGCCTGTCTGGTGCTGTGGCTGGTACCTGGTTAACACTGACACGCCCCTGACTCAGGGCTAGTGCAGTGAGCTGAATGCTGGCCTTGGCCTGTTGGAGTCAGCCCTGGAAGAAGGGGAGCCAAACTCAAAACCTGTGAATGGAGCAAGCAGTGGGTGCCATGCCCAGGGCCCACTTGAGCCCACCCACATGGGAGATGAGGCTGTAAAACAGGAACAGTTCACACAGAACAGAATAGACCAAATAATGGACTGGGCTTGACCTTCCCTGAGCACGAAAAGATTGGGAACACTGCCAGTGGTTCCCCAGCAGGGTCTGCCACCCTTTGTCATATCTCAACCTCCAGGTGACATGCTCCTCTGGGAGCACTTCTTGTATCTGAGTGGGAAGAGTTGTCAGGAAGAAGCCATTGCCAAACCTTTTGGCCCAACATGGAGCCTGGAAAAGGAAATATCAGCACAGGCACAGCATGTGTGATGCCACAGTGGTTTGCAGCTGGTCCAACCCACCATACCCCAAACTGCTGTGTTTCTCCCATCACAGTTCAGTTCGTGCAGTTTTCCAAGTCCAGCACCACAAGTTTCCCTAGTGCCTGTTCTTGTTGTGTTTAAACACGGTTCAACCACGCTCATTCCCTGTCCCTGGCAGTGGTGCGTCTCAGCTTTCTGATGAGTCTTTTGGACTATGACACAGAAAACCTCACTGCAAGCAGCTGTGAAGCAAAAGCCTGTCAGTACCTTGAAGCACTTGCTTTTTGCTTAACGCTCCCTGAAATAATTCTTCTGTGTGGGCTATTTCTGCCAGGTCTCTGTGGTGCTGGGACGGTCTGACAGGAAACTGCTAGAAAATGGGAAAGCAGCGAGGTCCCAGCGGTAGAAATGAGACAGCCTCTGCTTCTGCTGGGCAGACAGCTCGCTGAACATCTGCTCTGACAGCCACCTGTAGGTCCACTGCACCTGGCTGTCGCTGAGCTCAGGGAGGAGGCTGCCTGCAGGCAGCCCAGCCCGGCGCAGCAGGTGGCCCAGCTCCTGCCTGAGGAAGCCAAACATCACCACGTAGTCGTAGTGGATGAGGCAGGGCCGGCACAGGCTGACCAGCGGTTTCCAAGCCGCGCTGCCATTGTGCATTCCGCTGTCTAGGACCTCCTGGACGAAGCTGCTGAAGGAGGGGCTGATGCCCATGCCTTGCAGGAACGTGGCGATCAGCCTGTGGAAAGGGTCCCTGACAAAGAGCACCTTGGTGTAAGACCCCAGCATGGCCTTTCTCTCTGTCTGGTTGAAGTCGCTCAGCCGTGTCTCCTCAGCGTGCAGCCGGCGGTAGGGCAGCAGCACTGGCAGTGTCACATTTTCCTCCTCTAGCTTCTCCAAAAGCTGATGCCATTCCTCCACCCCTGCTGATGGTACTTGGCAGTACAGGAGGTCCAGCTTGGTGTTCACCCTCAGGCTGGGGAGCAGGGAGGCTCTCTCGTCCGGGCTGCTCGGCAGCGTGGTGACTTTGCCTGCTTGGCTGCAGAAAGCTCTCAGTCTCCTCTTCCTGAGCTGCTGGACGTGAAGGAAGGTGTCCAGAGTCAAAGTGAAACCCTCCTCTGCCTTGGGGGCCAGGTCACCTGGGAAACAGCATTTGGAGATGGGGGTGAGGAAAGACACAGTGCCCTGAGTCAGACCCCGAGCACACAGTGCTGTTGAGGCTCTTTTCCAGTTATTCCAGTGTGGAAGGATTCAGTGTGGATGAAATGGGTAGGAGAGGGGAGACCAGCCCTGTCCGGCAAAGAGCTTGGCTTTGCTGGGAAATGGGTTTCTGTCCCCATGAACATGTGAGATTATGGACACTGAGACACCCTCCTTTCCCCAAATCACCATGCCTGAGGAGTGATCTAAACCACAGATTTATTCCAGGCCCAGTTCTCCACTAAATCATAATTTTTGCTTTTAACTCCTTGCTTGCCGCTGAACATCACAGAGGTGAGTTTGCCAAAGAATCAAAAATATTTTGACAGAACAGGCAGTAGTAAATTGGTTTGTAGCTACAAGATGTTTGTAGCTACATGATGTCCTGCAAGCCCTTTTGCATCTGTTAACAGGTTAAGATCAGGTACGAAGTATGTGTGACTAAGGGATTACTCTGAATGGCTCAGGGTGATTTAGGGACCCAAATGACATCATTTCTTGCATCACTCCCATATGTAAATTTTTTCTCTTGAAGATAAAAAGGCAAGAGCAAATAAAAGGCAGAAAGCAAAGAGAAGTGAGATGACAACAAAGCAAATATAAAAGGCAAAAGCAAATACAAAGACTCTATGAGAGTGAGTTTAATTTCTCAAATTTCAGCTTTGCTTTTTTGTTTTCTTATTTTTAATGTGAAAAGGCCAGAGTGGGTTTGAATGTGGATGATTAATGCCTGCCTTGTTAGTTTATTTTCTTTAGCAGTAGCACATCTGCCTCATCTGCTCCGTGCAGGCATCTGGCAGCCCTGGGGAGCCAGTTTGATGGTTTGTTCTGGGTCCTCAGGAAGTTAAATATTTGGGGAGGCTCTTGTACGGAGCAGCACAGTTAAAAGCAGAGAAGCACAGTTAAAATTAGGCAAAGGACATCAGGAACACAGTGATGCCTGAAGCTATCCAGAGCTGTTCTTTGTCTCACCCAGCGCCAGAATGACAATTCTGCAAAATCTAGTGATGACTTTGCCCTGGAATGATGGGAACTGGAGGGAAAAGATGCATTTTTAAGGCAAGAAATGCAATAATCACCAACGCCCCTGCTCCCTCCTGCCTTCCCAATAGCACCTCACAAACAATGCAAGTTTTCCCAACAAAACTTTTGGGAGTTACCTCCAGCAGCCTGACACCTGCTTTCCCCACCACACCTGAAACCAATTCCCCACTAAGAACATAAAGCCGCAGGGCCCCACAGCACGGGCTTTCTCCACAAACACCGTGCCAAGGAGCGTTTTCCATCCTGCAGGCATTTGCTCACCTAGACCCTCTGGGAGAAGCTCCAGGGCCGTTCCCCCAGGGCGCAGAAAGGCTGCAGAGCCGCCGTGGTGGCCAGGCCTTACCTCCGTGGCTGCGGGCCGGGGTCTGCAGCAGCAGCAGCCTCCAGCTGAGGAAGGCGGCGATGGCCAGGGCGGCCGAGAGGCCGAGGCGGGGAAGGAAGCGCATTTCTGGGGTGAGCTGGGTGCCGAGCGCTGCGGAGCAGCTCGGGACCGAGGGAAGGGTGCTGGGGAACCTGGTGTGTTTGTTTAAACACACCCAGCCGGAGCTGGGTTAAAGTACTGTTTGGGCAGCGGCTCGGCTCGGCGCAGGGAAATGGCCTGAGGCACAGCAGGTGCCGCCTGCCTGCGCTCGCAGCGTGAGGCTTTGAGGCGGAATCTGCCTCGTTATTCAGTCTGTGCCATGCCAGGTGACAGTGCTGTGAGGAACAGGCCACACATCCCCACTTCTGTGCAGGCAAAGATGTCCCTGGTCCCCTGACCCTCCCTATTCTCCGCTGCTTTTGGCACCGAGGGAGGGAGGCACAACTCAGAACGGTGCTGTGGGGAGCAGCCGGCACTGGGGCTGAGCAAGCAAGTGCTGGGCCACAGCTCCTGCCTCTGTGCTGCCGGGGGTCTTTTTAGCTGTGACAGGGCCCAGCCAGTGTCGTGTGGCAGGTCGATGATGAGTGGAAGTTTTGAACTGCTGTCTGCTGTTTACACCGGGCCGTGCGGGGGCCTCACGATACAAAACGAGGGGGTGAGCTCCCATGCAGACGCGCTGCTCCTTCCTTTCGCCATGGAATCCGTGGGATGGAAATCCCCGTGCCAGGAGTTCCTGAGGGCCGATTTGCTCTCCTCCGGGCCACCGTGGCTTTCCCAGCAGAGGGTGCTCTGTGTCCGAGGAAGCCCTGCCCTGCCCTGCCCTGCCCGCCGCCGGGACAGGCGAGGGACGCGGGCTCTGCCCGCCCTTCCCCGCTGCGGCTTAGCGGATCAGCCTCACATTTGTGCCTTTTAGTGCCTTTCTACAGCGAGGAGATGTTTCCTCCAGGTCTTGTGGCCAGACCCTGCTGCAGGTGTCCCTGCAACCTGCCCCCGAAATGTGGGAGAATGAGAGCTGGGGGTGTTCGGGGCGGGTGTGAGTGGCCGTAATTTGCTTATCCATTTCTGCAGGGACTGTCCCCGCCACAGCCCCAGCGAGGCGAAGCACAGCTGCAGTGGGTAGAGAGAAGTGCAGCTGATTTTTATTTTACAGTCATAAAGTGAAAGCAAAGAGACGTTCTCTGTCTGGAGGGCAGAAAGAAATAGTGGAAAACCCCCTTTGTTTTGCATAGCAAGGAAACTGAACTTCCTAAGTTACATCAGGGTTTCATCTCTCTTTGCTCTAACTTGTATCTGCCATTTAAATGGCGATTTTTAAATTATTTTTCTTGCCCCTGGGATTATATATATATATTTTTATTTTTTTTTTGTTTGTTTGGTTTTTTTTTGTGCTGAAAAGTTTCTGAAACTCACTGCTGGGCTTTCCCCTGTTTGCCTTCCATTCACCCCCCTAGCAATAGCCAGCAAGGCTGAGACTGCAGTTCTTGAACTGAAAGGCTTCCTGCTATATGCTTGTAGGGAGCCAGCAGCCTTTTTTGGGCACAGAGGCTGTCAGGTGTGGAAATGCATTCACATCCTACTATTTAATGCAATTGCACAAGGGAATTAGTTGGGGAATTCATATGAAGTTTCCAGTAATTTAGGAAAACCCTCACTGCCATGAATGTGAGAAAAAGCCATTCTCTTTTTCTTTACACCAGCAGTAGGATTGCCTGAATAAGGATTTCCAGATTTTTTCCCACCAGTATCTTGAACAACATTGCCTTGGGCTGCCTTTTTCTCCTCACAGGACGCACACCCTTTGGAGATATAGGTTAATAAACATCCTCCTCTTCAGCTGTCCCGCATTCCTCCCACTTCCAAATTTTGCAAAGTATTGTCTTGTGTGACCATGACCCGTGGGCACTGGTGTGAGGGTTCCCCCCCTTGTTCCTCCTCATGCCTGCCTTGTGGGAATGTGAACTTTGCGAAGTGATGGCAAACACTGCCTCGTTTGGCAAGGGATGTTTTTACACTGCGAGGAAAGGAAGAGCGGAGAGGAAACCTTCTTATCCCTCTTCTTGTTTGGAAGCTTGCATATGACGTGTGTTTAGGAAGCAAATTCGGGCCCATCTCTCAGCAGAAATGTGGGAGCAGTTGGAGGAGGAGGAACAAAGTTCCCAGCTCCCAGAGCATCATGTAGTGTGGAAAGTCTCTGGTCTTTGGGAAGGATGGTCCTGAGAGCAGGGCTGCCAGGCTGCTGGCTGGGGATGCATTGCACTGAGTGGACAAGGATTCCTTGAAATCAACCCAAAAAGTCCAGGGTGGGAGTGGTTATTTGTGAATAAAGTGGGTTTTCTGCAAGTGGCCTCTTTTCCATCATGTCTCTGTGTTCCCAGAGCTCCTCTCTGTGCCTGTGGAGAACCTTGGCTGCCCAGCTTGCTTTGAGGGTGGGGCACACACCCCATCACCTGCCCACAGGCTATCTCACTCTCAGGGATGCAGTTTAGCACTTCAGTGCATGAGGCGGAGCCTATGTGTAAGCATCAGCTCCTTCAGTCTTATGGTCATTTCCAAATTTGGCCAACTCAGTGCTTTCTGGTGGGATTTGGGATTTTCTTCACTCTAGCTCCTGCCAGATGTCATGAGCCAATCTGCCCAGCACCCCAAGTCCATCTCCATCTCCTCCAGTGCTTCCATTCAGCGCTGCCACTGTTGGCAGTGGATTTGGAAGGTGGACATTTGTCCTTGTGCATTGGACAGGGAGCACCAGGCTGGCTTTGGGCAGCCAGGGAGAAGCCAAAGGCCACGAGGACTGTCCCAGGCAGCAGCATCCTGGGACTGAGCAGCACTGGACCAGAAATAGTTATGCAATTTGGAAAGGAAGGGAAAGCGAGTTCCCATTGCACCCAAGGAGTGGAGCAGGTAGGACAATGTTTGGAGTGGTTGTACAGCTCTGGCGCTTCCTGTTTTCCTGCGGGCAGGAGCTGTGATTGTCACTTCTTATTCAGCTCCTCATCCTGGGAGGAAGACAGCATCGGGCTGTCCAGGGGCAGCAGGATGTTTATGTGGCAGGCTGAGTCAAGGTGCTGCTTTTAATACAACCCAGAGCAGAGTCATTGGGGGAAACGTACATTTTAGATTTCTTCTTTTTTTTTTTTTTAAGGCTCATGAACATCCAAAGTGCTTTGCAATTACCATTGAGCTGTGTGGCCGAATGCCAGCTGAGTGTCATTGTTCTCTAAGGCTATTACACGAGGATTTTACAGGGTGCCATGTACTACTGGTAATTTAGGGAGGATTTGTCTAATTAGTGATGCTGCATTGAGAGGCTTTGCTTAATTACTCCATAAGCTGTTAAACTTTGCATTGTCTCAGCCAGGCCCACATCAACCAGAGCACCCAAAGGTGGTGGGGAGAGGATGAGGCAGCCATGCAGCCTCTGCCATGTGCCCATCCAGAGGAGCCCTCTCTCCCTGCTTTATTAAGGATAAGACCATTTCCCTGGAAGGAGGGACCAAGGGACTCAATATTTTAAAAAATGTGGGGATTTCAGCCATTATCTCTATGCAGTAGCAAATGGGAATCCCATGGGGAAAAGTAGCCTGTGTCTGGATCTGTGTATTCAGAGGAAGAATGCTCATGGGACTAGTGGCCATCCCATCACTTCCCATGAAACCAGCAGCTATCCATCCCATTGCCTCCATCCCGTCATGTGCCATGGGACCAGCAGCCATCCATCCCATTGCCTCCATCCCATTGCCTCCATCCCATCACCTGCCATGGGACCAGCAGCTATCCAACCCATTGCCTCCATCCCATTGCCTCCATCCCATCACCTGCCATGGGATCAGCAGCCATCCATCCCATTGCCTCCGTCCCATCACATGCCATGGGACCAGCAGCCACCACCCCTGTCCCAGCATCTCCTCATGGAGCTTTGTGGTGCCACCTGAACAGCACAGGATCTTTTACCACTGAGTGTTTCTCCAACCAGATCTCAGCCTTGCTTTGTGTCCCAAGCTCCCCCTGGCCTTCCTCTCTCTTTAGTGCTGCATGGGATAAACCCAAAGTGCTCCTGGACAAACCAGGCAGTGCCCGTGCATGTGTGGTACTTTGGGAAATCTAGTCCTTCAGCTTCTCTTTCTCATTTGTTTTTTAATGTGAATTTTGTTTCATGCGGGCAGCTCTGATATTTGGACTGTTCTTCCCTTTGGGACCTGAGTAAGAGAGCAATCCTGAAAGAGCCTTCAGGAGCAACTTTTCCACCCCACCAGCATGGGGACAAAGCCTCTGCTCGGCCCCCAACTTCACAGAGGTGAGAGAGTTTTTACTTGGGTGGCCTCAGCCGCATTGCTGGGGGCAACACAGAGGAGATTGGGGTCTGAAACATCTCAAAATCTCCTGAAAAAGAGCTGGTGGTGGTGAAAAACAGGATGGCAGGAAGAAAAAAACCTCTGTTGTAAAATATCACTCACTGGAACCAGACTTTGATCTCCTGCTGTGGTCCCTGATGGGAAGGGGAGGTGTGGGCTGGGAGGAGATGGGCAAAGAGGGGATCTCCTGGGATTTGTGGTTGTGTCTCCCATGGGTCTACTTTTCCTGAGCCACAACTCTCTCACTGCAAAATGGTTTCCCCAGACTTCACACCCTGTGCCTGCCCTGGTTTTTTTGGGGGCAGAGAAGCACTTTTGCTTTGTTTACAGCAGCATTTTCCCCTTTTTGTGTCATTTTTTATGCTGCTGCCTGATCAGGTGAGGAAAGCTCTCACCTGTGTCTGTTGCTGGACATGGGGGAATGAATTCTCAGGCAGCTTTTGACCTGGGGACTGGATTTTGCTGATGCTGCTGAAAGCTGAGTTTGTCTGGGAGTGCACCCAGACATCTGCCCACTGTTCCTGGCCTCTCCCAAGGGAGTGCTGCCCCATGACACTGCAGGCTATCACATTTTCTTGGTTGCTGGTTGTTTCCATTATTCATACAGAAACTCTTTAAATATTCAGAGATCTCTTGACTGGTTTTTCAGTGACTTGTGGAGGTGGTGGCACGGCTCGCTGGGGCCACCTCCACACCTGGTTTAGTAGGATGCTATTTCTGATGAGCGATGTTTTCGGGAACTCTGGAGCCTATGGCCCTGACTCCAGACCAGAAGTGGCAGGGGGAAAAGGATTTAAGGTCTGTTTGTTTTACTTTTTTGTCCAGACAATAAGCCAGCAAATACTCCCAGATTGTTTATATTTGGATAAGGCCGCTCGTGTCCTGTGAAAGGAAAATGACACATCTACTACTTCTCCTGGGGAGAAATGGTGTGGGACAAATGGACTCCTGGTGTGGCTGCCAGAAGCCTCTTGATGCCACTTCTGGGATGTGTGGGATGGCAATGGCACTGTGGTCCAGATGGGGAGAGCATGGCAGGGGCACAAATGCCTGTTTTTTCTCTGCTGGTGGCATTACTTTGGGGCCAGATGCACGAAAGGGCAGAGCTTGGTCCCCAGTGCCAGCCCCACATTGCTGCCTCCTTCTCTCCCACTGGGATGTGGGGCTGTGGACACTGGCAGGTAGCCTCATCAGACTTCCCATCCAACAAGTTGTTTTTGGAGTCTGTGGGATGTGAACCACAAACTGAAATTCTGTTTTTCTCTGTTTTTCCCAGAAGCTCAGCCCCTCCTGGCATGGCACTGCATGGGGGAAAGACACAAGGCACCGAGGTTTGGCTTCAGGGCTTTGGGCTGGCCCTGCTCAGTTCCCACCACCCCTAACCAGGACATCAGGGGCCTGACCCCCCCAGGACACCCAGCTGGTCGTGCCTGTGTCCCCCCATCTGTTCAGGCTCTCTCAAGTCTCTCTCAAATCTCTCCTGCAAACCAAATGCATACCTGAGGTGTTTTCACAGGAGCTGAGCAGCCCATCATGGCAAGTCACAACATGAAGGTTCCAAAACCTACCCCATAACTGTTTTCTCTTTTCATTTCTTTCTTTTTTTATTTTTTTTTTTTAAATTTAATTTGTTAAACCACTCCCTTGCAGAAAGCACCACCTGCTTGTCCCATAGGGAGAGGTCAGGCAGGGGGAAGAATAAGTGAACTTGAGGCACTATGGCCCTGCTGCAACGGGTCAGGTCAGGGAAGAGGAATTTTCTTGGCTCACAGAGCCTTGGCAGCTCCTGGGGTGGCTCTGCAGGCTTCACCCTGGGGCAGGTGCTGTGAGAAAGTGCCAAGAATTCACAGCTAGCTCTACTGCAGTCTGTAACTCCAGCTGGGTCCAACACCCCCTTTCTTGATGTCAAAATTGGTCAGAATTTTTTTTTTACATTTCCTCAGGGTTATTTTTTACCTAAAAGTGAAGAAAAGATAAACTTTTCTTCCTATTTTTTCCCCCCAGAGCTTTTGGAAGAAGTAAGAGGGGAAGTGACTTTTCTCCTTCATTCAAAGTTGGTAAATGCAGCCAAAACTTGCCTCCTCCTCCTCCAATTATTTTACTTCTATTAGTAATTCTTGCCTGTCTGTAAATTGGGCATTTCTGCATTTATTTTCATTCTGTGGAAATAACCAGTCCCCAGCCTCTCCTCTCTGATGTTTGTCTCCCCATACATGCTGAGATTCATTTGATTCAAATATTTCCAAACAGACTGGAGACAAGAGAAGCAGCTTTTTGTCACTTGCAGCACCACATTTCCACAGAACAAAAACATGATGTAATGAATGAAAAGGCCTGGAAACACTGAAAACCACTCAAGAAGAAAAAAATTGCAAATGAGCAAATTGCCATCATTTCACACACAACCACAATTAAAGAAGCAGCAGATCTGGGAGCCGAGGCAGTTTTGGTCTGAAAAAACCCAAAGGATTTCAGCTCTGCTTCCTTGTCCAGGATTTAAAATGCAGCAGCTGTTAAAAGTCATGCTCTGGTGCTCCACCTGCCCCGAGTGCTGAATTCAAAAGCAGGCAATGAAATCCTGAGCTGACAGGCCAGGAAAGCCATGAAATGGAGGAGCAGGGATCTCTGTGCCTGAAGGAAAGACTCAGGAGGATTGAACACCTCTTTCACCCCAGCAGCCTTCTGACTCTACGAGCCTTCATCTTCCCCTACATCTATTTCCTGGGAACGCAAGGTGTGGGAACAAATTGCATTTTGGGAGCCCTTTGGAAACAGATTTCAGATGCACTGTTGCTAACTCTGACCTAAGACCTGGCAGCAGGTTTTGCCTTTGGGAGCTTCTGACCCCAGCTGGTTGTTGCACCCCGATTGAGCATCCTCAGGCTCATTCTCCTGATGAAGATGAAGAAGGAGACAAAGGTGAATGATGGAGAGGTGGCTTCCTTGGGTAAAACACCCCTCAGGCAGGAATCCACTGCTTGCTTCGGCCTCTGAGGGGAGGACAAGCCAGCGGGGAAGAGGTGGGAATGTTCTGTAAAATCCATGCCATGTGGATGCGACCCTTAAGGACATGGCTTAGTGGTGGCCTTGGCAGTGGCAGATTAATTGCTGAACTCAGTGATCTTCGAGGTCTTTTTCAACATAGATGATTCAACAATCCTTTCACCATCTGCTGAGTGCTGGGATCAGTGTGGGAGTGGTGCTCCAGCTCATGGGGTTTAACTGGAGCAGAGCACTGAAATGCCCCTGAGACCTGGCTCTTGGGTACTCCTGAGGCTTTTTTTGGAGTCTTGGCTGGTGTTTTGGTGTTGCTCCAGCACATTCCCACTCTCTTACTGTATCTCCAGCAGCCCCTCTGCAGAAGACCATGCTGGTGTCCCCGGAGAGCTGCCAGTGCCAGCTGTCTCTATAAATACCCCTGGTATAAATTCAGAGCTCAGTCCCTGGCAGGCTCAGTCCTGCCCTCTGATCACAGCATTGAGGGGTGCTGGGCTGGAAACTCACAGGCTGCAGAGCCCTGCCACAAGAGAAACAGCTCTTAATGCCTTGTTAGAAAACTTACATTTCGATTTTCCATTGATTAATAAAAGTGATGCAGTGGTGGTTCTCGCTACTTCAACATTTCCATTCCCTTGGTCTTATATAAGTCAAATATTTCAACTTTTGTACCAGGACAAATCATTTTTAGAAAGCCTGTGTGTATGCCAAAGTGCTGCAGCTCCATGGCAGTGAGCCTGGGAGCTGGGCTGAGATGTCCATGTGTGGGTCAGACCTGTGGTTGCACTCTCCCTGTTCCATGGAGGAGTCAGCTTGAAGCTTCCCATGGTTGCAGAACACACCACAGAGAGCTCTTGCCCCCTGGCCCAGGCAATAGCAGCAGTGCTATTTCTCAGGCTGACCTAAAGGGACATTTCTTTACTGGGCTGTCCTTGCCCAGATTGATTTTCTGAATCTTTTCAGATTTTACATGGTGAGGTCTCCTGGGAAGATCCCCGTTGGATCCAAACCCCTGAGAGGAGGAGGGAAGCCTCTCTAGCCTGTGCCTCTCTGACAGCTCCTGCAACATTAAAGGGTGTCTTGGGGATGGGCTGCAGCCAGAGCTGCTCTCAGTCCTGACAGCACATTTTTGACATCCACTGCCCCACTGAGAATCAAGATTTATTCTTAAAAGGAAAAAAACATGCACTTCTCTTCTTTGCAAGGAAAACTCTCACTCCCTTTTGCTCTCTTGCCAACAGGAACGGCTTGCTGGGGGTTGAGGGAAACTTCTGCTCAGCACCAGGCAAATGCATGAATTCCTTTCCATGTTCCTCTTGGCACATCTCCTTTTAGCACTTGAGGACTTTTCCCCTGGTCACAGAGAAAAGCAGGCAAGGAGAAGATAAGAGCCAGTGGGCAGCAGAGCCCTTGCCAGTGCTCCTGCTTTCCTAGTGACCCTGGTGGCTTTGGAAAAAAAGCTTTTGGTGTGCCTTTGCATGACAGGAGACTGGCAATTAGTGGCATTCGGGCTGGAAACATCCTGTCCTGACACCGGCAGGCTCCCGTGTGCTGCAGAGGTGGGGAGCAGCCCCTCCAGGCAGCTCCTCCCTGCAGCTCCAGGGGCTGCCGGGCAGCGTGGGTGTGCTGGGGAATGTGGGAGCTGTGGCACGGGGGAGTGGGAAGGGTGGGATGGAATGACTGTTCCGTGCTTATATTTATCTCCCGCTTGATGGCCAGGCTCACAAAGCAGGATACGCCTCCCCGGAGCCCGGCAAACTGACAAAAATCTACCTGGGAAGGATGCAAACCCAAACCCCCCCCCCCACTAAAAATATGCAGGCAAATAGAGATTTTCCAAAACAGAGTTCCGGAATGCTAAACTTGGTGGTGATTCATGGAAGGAGGGGGGCACAGCCGCTTTACTTTTTCCCCTGAAGGCGAGCAGGAACAATGTAAATGCCGAATGCTATCCAAGCCACCCCCTCAGCTGGGCTGCTGTGCTTTGAAGAGTCCATCCATAACCCGGTAGGCACCGGCTTCCCAAGAAGGCAAAATTCCTGCCGCAAAAACAGGAATCCCTTATCGGGCAGCAGGAAATCCTATTTTTACATGGAGTTCAGAATAAAAATAAAAGGGAAATATATATGCTCGGGGGGTGCAGGCTAAAATTAAACCTAGAGCTTCTCCTCTGATGGCTGGCTCCTGCCACTCCCTGGATTGAGAATCTGACGGTGAACAAGAAGGATCCTGCTGTTCCTGGCTGCTCTCAGTGGGACCTGCTCTGCTGTGCGGCTTCTCCTCTCAGTGAGCTCTGTGAGTGTGGCTTAAATGAATCACCTTGGATCAGTGCTGTGGCCAAAGCCTGTGCTGTGAGCAAGTGGGAAGAGGTTCCTTTGCCTCTTCTTCATGTGGCTCCTTAACATTTCTGAGCCAAATCCTTCGGTTTCTGACTGTCCTGTCAGCTTCACTGCCCTATGTCCAGCCCAGACCTTTCTCTGACCAAAATTTCTCCATCCACGTGGTACCAAAAGATGTACTGATGCATCATGAGGCTCTGTCTTGACCGAGTTTCCAGCTTTGGGTCTGCTCCCCCCGAGGGGATGAACTGGCACATGTGGTCTGGATTTGAGCATTGCTTCTCTGGGATTTGAGCATTGCTTCTCGCAGTTCTCTGGAATCTGTAGTAATGAAACAAGCCCTAAGCCACAATCCCCAAACCTCTTCCTTCCCTGCAGCCCAACACTGAACAGTGACTGCCAAAAACAGCGCTGTGGCTGTGTGTTTTCATTACCACTGTGATTTGTACAACAAATGCAGCCCATTTGCAGCCACGCTTTTGTTCTTTGATGTCTCAGGCCTTTGCCAGCTGAAGCCACACTCAGGGCTTTCCTCTGGGCTGCACCAGCTTCAGCAGCTCTGTGGCACAGGGTGGCACTGAGACAAATCCCACAGGGACTGTGAAGGTGGCCCCGGTGGCACTTGGTCAGCATTTCTGTAAGGCAGCTCATTTCAGAGTTTCCTGTGTTGGACCTCGGACCAAAAGGCTTTTAACTTGGCTTCCAAAGAGCAATTAAACTGGACCCAGAAAAGTCACTGGGTAAAATGCATCATGAGGTGCAGACCTCTTGGCTGACCACACTGACCTCTTATGTATGTGTGTGTGTGTATATATATATATATATATATATATATATATATATATATTTGTGTCCAATCTACCTCCTGTCTGCTTTTTTTTTTTTCTGCAGCAAAGGTTCACTCTGAGCATTTGGCTGCAAAATACATTGTAAAAAGTTGTTTTCTTGGAATAAGTATTTGAGGGCATCTTCAACCTTCATCAGGAAAACAAATCCCAGTAAATATTAAGCAGAGTAGCCTGAGTTAGCCATAAAGCTGCAGGTGCTTTAGCAGGGTGTTGACTTCTCAGGTGCACAGGAGTTTGAGAGCAGAATTTCTTTCACCTGAGCTGGTCTCCTTCTAATTAGTGAAATTACAGGAAGGTTTGAGGGGGTGGATAGAGAATGCTGGTGTTGGGTTGCTGCTGAGAGCCAAGCTATCTAGGAGGAATGGCCCCTGGAGAACAGGTAGGAAAATTGGGGA